ACTGCTTTGCATTATAAATTGCCCAGTCTCCTGTATTCTTTTGTAGCAAGAGAAAACAAACCAAATTGGTTCGTGTTGAGATTGTGAAAGTTATCTTTTGTGACTTAGTTGTTATTAACTTTTCTGTTTTTCTAAAATTCTAATATTCTTTTGTTTATTTGTTTGTTTTGTTTTGTTTTGTTTTTGAGACAGGTTTTCTCTGTGTAGCTCTGGATGTCCTGGAAATCACTCTGTAGTCCAGGCTGGCCTCCAACTCAGAGATCCACATGCCTCTGTTTCCTGAGTGCTGGACTTTAAAATTGTACCACTACTGCCCAGTAAAAAAAATTATTATTTTAGCCATCTATGAAGAATTCTTTTTGAAAAGTGTTAGGATCATGTATTTGCAACTTCACTAATCCACCCATCCCTGCCATTACAACTGTTGAATCTACTGTGGCACAGTAATCTTTCCAAGAATACCATATGCTTTAGTGTTCTCTGTCTCTTCATGGCACTGGTGAATAACACACATTTAGCTCATGACTTTAAAGCATGTGCACCCTAACTGGGAAATTGAGTGTGATGGCATTTCAAGGTCATCCTCCTCCTTGCCCCTCCCTCTATCAGTGAAGCTGGGAGAGCCACTTTGCTGAGCCCACTCCAGTTCCTGGAAAACTAGGAACCTCATTCATCTTCACCCTCACATTGGCCTTTATTCTGGGCACATGACCCTGTGATCTCTTAGCTCCTGGCCTAATGACCCTTCTTTCTGCTTAGCCTTAGCTTCCTGTTCTCACGGTGCAGACTGAAGTCTGAAGCATATTATCTTTCAAAGTGGCTCCGCCCCCATCCTCAGATTCAGACATCCTCCTCTGACAGAGCCTGTCCCTGCAGCTTGTTCAGATCAGCCAGCCACCCTTCCTCTCTCTAGGTCATTTTCCCTCTCCTTCCCAATCATGCTCTCCAGTTTATAAGCCCTTCCCTATGGCTTGTTCTGATGTGCAGGTTGGATTCTGTGGTCCATTGCAAGATCCATGCTCTTGCTATAAATCCAAATGATCCAATATACTCTCCATCTTGTCACGTACCGGGCAGCTGAGGCCTTCTGAGGGACAGTCCAGCAAGCCAGACTGAGATTACTGCTAATGCTCCAACACCAGACCCCAGTGTACAACATAGGACTGGCAATCTCACCGTGCTCCTCTAGTCTACCTACTCTCCTGCTATTTGACAAAGGTTTTTAAACATCTATGCAATTCGTCTTCTTATGCCTCCTCCTGGTGTTGGATTGTCTTCATATACCATCAGAAAATAGAAACACCAGGCAAGACTTCTCCAAGTTTGTGCCACCACATTTACAGCAGAACTCCCTTCCTACTTTTCTTCCCCCTCTTATTTAACCAAACACTGGTCTGTCCTCTAAATCAGGCTTTGTCCCTAACACTGTGAGAAGTAGTCTTGTGGTTCCAGCAATATGGGAGTCATTGGTGAAAAAAGTCCATACTGCAGTGAGATGAGAGAGAGCTCTGGAATATAAAGAAGGAAACAATCCACGGACTACACGTGAGAAATCTGGTTGTGAAGGGAGTCACTCCCATGGTCTCCATCATTCATTCTCTCCACTAACTTTCCTCCCTCTCCTTCTAGGCTATAATAAAATAATCTTTCTAGCTACAATCCCCTGGCCATTGGCCTGTCAATTGCTGTTCCTCATAATACAATTTATCAAGTGGGTTGTCTCCTCGTTTTTTTCACCATCTAATCCATTCACTTCCTATTTCAAGATGGGTTTATTAAGGTTATCAGTGACTTCTAAACTGCTACAACTATGTACCAGCACTTCCCAGTTTTGTCCCTGAAGTGGCTGAAGTTTAGGGACATTGGTTTCTCTAAGGAGATACACAGCATGTTTGGAGCATGCACATTTGGTGATTGGGCTTAAGGAATGAGAAGCCCCAGTAGCTCAAGTCCATCTCTCCTCAAAGACCTACATGCTGGCCAGTCAGACGAGTCAAGCATGCCTTGAACCACATATGGACTAGAAGATCCCACTGGCAAACACATAGGGAGCAGAGGTCAGCAAAGATCACAAGACAGATATGGTCCCAGATGGAGAAGCTGGGGAACCATTGATATTCATTGAAGGCAGTGTGTACGGCATACAGGAAACCTCAGGCCATGTGGTAGAGTGAGGATCTGGTTGAGAGCTGTGCTTGAAAAGAACCCTACTTTTTATCAGTGGAGAGTAACATCAGAATCTCTAGGTTTGGTCCTAGGTGTCAGAAGGTACTAAATAAATGGAGGGAAGGCTGAATGTTCTCTGTAGTGTGTGTGAAAGCATGTGTGTGTGAGCATGTTTGTATGTGTGTGTCTGTGTGTCTCTGTGTGTGTGTGTGTGTGTTCACGTGCGTATGCATGTGGAAGCCAGAGGAAAATTTTGGGTGTTTTTCCACAGGTGAAGACAGGGTCTCTTTCTGGGACCTTGGGTCATCTGTTAGCCTAGGCTGTCTGGCCAGTGAACCCTGGTTATCTGCTTGTTTTTCTCTAGCAATGGGGTTCCAACACATGCCTCCATACCTGGCTTTTTACAAGGATGCTGGGCATTGAACTCAGGTCCTTGTGCTTGTGTGGTCAACACATTATCCACTAAGCTTTGCTCTCAGCCCCTCAAAGGTTCAACAGCTGTCAAACTATTTGTGTTGTCCATATTTAAAATGTGAATGCATCTCTAATGTTTAGAACACAAAAGGTCACAGAGTACAAGGGGGAGTGAAACAAAATGTCCAGGGCACTGGTGGCTCACTCCCCAGGGTCCCATCCCATTATCACTGTTTCTCATGACTTTGAATAAGTTCTTTAACATGTTGATGCCATCCGTATACTGGAAGTTATGATAACACCAAGCTCATGAAGGTAAAGTGAGTTTGGATGTGCAAAGTCCCTATTCCAGAGTCTGGTAACCATTTCCAATAACTGTGCAATTACCATTAAGTAATGAGAATTCTAATCATTTATATTGTGATTAAATAACCTTGCCCATTATGATTGAATCCTTTGAGAGTTCCGGTTCCTAAAGTCCCCTTCATCCTCCCACCCCTTCCCCTGTGTGACACCCCTTTCCTGGCTACTCTCCACATGTGTCTCCAACACAGATGGAGCAGAGCTTCCTTGCTAGACGCCCATGTGGAAGAAACTTGGAGGCAACCATCCGTTGTCATGATATTCCAGAGTTTACATGATCCTTCTTTCTTATCCAAAGTACCCTGAGTTGACATACCAGTGTGATCCTTGGGAATTGTGCCCCAGAAGGCTAACAAAACAGATGTTTAGGGCTAGAGAGATGGTTCAGCTGGTTAAGAACCGCACTTGCTAATCCAGCCTGATGAACTTGCTCACCAGAACTCACAGTAGAGAAAGCTGACTCCCGAAGAGTTGTCCTCTGACCTCCACAATAGCACTATACCTGTGTACACACTCCTACACACATGTACTAACATAAACGAAAAGAAAACAATATATATAAAGGTGGGGTGTGAATGAGGAAAGACACCTAAGGTCTACATGCAACCTCTACACCTAAGAAAACAAAACAAAACAAAGCAAAGCAAACAAACAAATAAACCCCAAGTAATTTGGCCTGGCTGTGCAGTGTTGAGAATTCTCATGGCATTTCTTTCCATATTTTCTGCTTATTCGATGTTGGTTTTCAGATGTTCTGTTCAGCCCATCTCCACATCCTAAGCTTTTGTGTATAGAAAAAACGGTACCGAGCCAGAACGCTTAACAACTGACAGTGGCTGTGAGGCTTTCACTTTTAAAGAGTTTCCAGGCACCCAGCCCTTTTCCTAAAGGACTCTTTTCCCTTTTATGGATGAGCACCTGGCTCCAAGACAGAGTAAACAGAACTTCCTGCCCCAGGGACGGGTTGGCTCCTGTGCAGGAGCCCAGGGATCCTCTGGGAAAAGTTCATAGGAACTGTGAGCTGTGTGTGACCTGAGGCTTGGGAGCCAGCTGAGCCAAAAGGGAGGAAAGCACATTTAACAGCCCTTTTGTGTGGATTCTGGTCCCAGAAGCACTTCTGGGAAAGTAAGTCTGATGCCGTACACACAGTTCTTGCAAAGAATGGCAGGGAAGCGGGCCTGGCGAGAGCCAGGTCCACATTAGGCGCCTGAATCCTGGACCCAAGTAATTGGAGGAATTCAGAGATGTCTGGGATTCCCACAGTTCAGAGGCTCCATGCTTCTGTGCATGGGGCTTAACAACCAGGGGCAGGACTTGAGTGCGGCTCAGGCGTGAAGTGGTAGCCTACCATGTGCGTAGCCCTGGGGTTGAGAAAAGAAAAGACAGAAGAAAACCAAGCAGGGCCTGGACAACTAAATTGGAGTTCAACAGTACATATACAATTTTCAGGTTGCTTACTGCTTACTGCTCTTCTTGGTCTCGGACTTTAATATTCCCCATACTTTTATATGATCATAGTGAAAGCACTGTTGCTACGGCTGGCTTGATGGTTTTGAGTCACTTTGATAATTTTGACCTTTCACTGTAGTGTACTCCATAATTTCATTAACAGCAGCAGAGAAAAGAAACAAAAATGGCAAATGTTTGAGACTCATTATAGTGAAATTATGGCTAGTATGTGCGTAGATCTCAGGTAAGGCATGGACTCTACCATCAAGTTTCACTCCAACTCCATAAATATCGTGTTGATGGTAACTAACATTCCCTGAGAAACTAATATTTCTCTGTGTCACGCGATGAGTTACTCCGATAGCTTTCACCTGCTAAAATAACCAAGACTGTGAGCTGGGTCAGTGGGCAGAGACGCGAGCCACCCAGAGACTCAATTTTGATCTCAGGAACCCATGGAAAGGTAGAAGGAGAAAAAAACAGTTCTACAGTCATCCTCTGACCTCAACGTGTGTGCCATGAAACATGCTCACCCTTCTTATTTCATGCATACGTGTGTGCACACACAAGCAAAATGATAATAAGTTGCTTAAACACAAACCAAGAAGTTGTGATTGCCAATTTAATATACAGTATGCAAATATGCTACTATATTATTATAGGATGTATACTCATAAAGCATAAGCAACAGCAAAATTTCAAATGTGACATAATTAAACATAAGCTGAATTTCTTAGATTTTCTTTTCTTGTGTTCTGACAGTGCTGGAGATTGAATTAGGGTCTTTTTCACACCAAGCATGTTCTCATCCACTGACCGTACCGCCAGCCCAGAAGTTTTTATATTTCCTTTTGTGTGACACTTAGATTGAGTGTTGGGGTGCAGTGCGATCTGCATTCCCTTTACAGGCGGTTATTGTTTTCATTTTGAAGATGAGCAGATGGAAACAGGCAGAGACGTTTTTTGCCTGAGATGGTTGGGCCATGCCTGTGGACAGTGTGTTAGCTGCAATGTTCCCTATGGTCTCATGACCTTGCTGACTTCTGTAGCATTTCCATAAGCGCTTCCAGGAAGCTACCAGCATGCTAGTGTGCTCCTGTTTCTGCATATGCTACTATTAGATGCAGGGATTTAAGAAGTATGTCTAGGAGAGAAGGGGAAGAAGATGAGGGCACCACAGTGAGGCATGAAAATGACTTTATGAAATCCAGTACTATATACAATGAGAATGCGCCAAAAGGATGTGTTCAAAGGTGTTTTAGACTTATCTGATACCTGAGGTCTCTAGAAGAATTTGAATCAAATTTGTAGCTTTATTCTCCAGCCAGACATAAGAGCCGCAGAATGAACTCAGATTTTCTTTTTCCTTTAGATGAGCTAGAAATGAAAGTCATATATTGAGCTTGCCACTGTTAAAAATAAACATGGATTCACAAATAAAATTAAGAAAATGATTCCATTTAGAATAACAAACTCTCGGATATAATAAAAACCATAAAACAACATTGAAAGAAAATTCTAAATAATTGGAAAGGACAACTGTTGATGAGTTGGGAGACAATGTTAAAATGAGAATATCTTCTAAGCTAGCTGTAGCTTCAGGGATATTCCTACCCAAGTCACAAGGGCAATATGTTCATTGATGGAGGCCTAGATAAACACAAGCTCATGTATTTATACTTTGCATTTAATTATGACTGCTTGCATGACCATGAGTTGGGGCGTGTTTACTGGAATACTGGTAATTTATCAGTGGCTACACAAACGAAAGCTGGGACCTCCTTTCTCCAGTATCTGTTATCTTTCCATTCCCTCTCAGTGAGAAATGCAGCCTCATTAGCCCCTCTCCTGTGTATGAAGAAATGGAGGTGGGCCCCATCTTGCAGGTCCTGTATAGGTAACCACAACTTCAGTGAGTTTATCAGAGCAATGACACTGTTTCACAGCAATACTCCTTGATGTCTGGCTCCTACATTCTTTCTGTATGTTCTCCCCAGTGATTCCCTAAGCTTTTGGGGGAGAAAATGTGTAAAATAGATATCCCATTTAGGGTCAATCCTCCACAATAACCCACTCTTCTCATTTTGATCAATTGTGAGTCATACATACTACTGCCTACCACAAGCAGAAGTTTCTCTGACAAACACTGAGAGCAGCAATAATTTATGGGTGTAAACATAAGATTTAGAAGAAGTTTGACACCATGTGCATTTAACAAAGTGACTGTAGCAAGTTCTCCCCTAAGACTTAAGACTTCCTCAGACACCTGTTCTTGACCAGGTTTATAGTACAAGGCATGAGTTCCCTCCTGCAGAGCCAGGTTCAAATTCAGTAAGAGAGCTGTTGGTTACCCCAATAACAGTCATGCTACTGTTGCGTGGGTGGGCATATCTTGTCAAATAGGTTACTATTGTAGCTTATAGTGTATCCAGCTTGGGGAGAGCTTTGATGACTTACCTCTCCAGCATCCTGTATAGCACCTACTAGCATTGCAAAAGCTAGCCAGCAGGGAGGAACCCTCCAGCTCAAATGTCTCAGTGCTCTATAACCCAAGTATGTGGTGTCTTTAGCAATGAGGTCTTATGATCTTATCTTGGTGAACAACCAAGAACATCAGCAATAGCTTGTTATGTTTGAGGGGCTTCTGGGGCCAATCCAGCCAACAGTTCATAAGGAGGTATCCAACACTGTATGCATGTGAGTGCATGCATGTGTATGTTAAGCTCATAAATGTTATCATAGATTATATACCATTTTATATCTGACTTTCTCAGCATGATTTTTTGGGAGTCATCTACTATTTTAAGTACTGATCTTTCCTTTTTATTTCCAAGTAGTGTATTTTCTTGAAAGGATATGCACAGTCCATTTTTTTTTTTACTTTAAATAAGAAACTTTTGGATGCGTTCTAGTTTGAGCTACTACAAGTAACGCGTCTATGAATGTTTGTGTATAAGTCTGTATTGATGGGTTTCTCATTTCTCTTGGGCTGAATTCCTGGCCTGTGTGTTTATGTGTGGGTTTAAACTTTTAAAGAAAGTGTCTCTGGGGCTGGAGAGATGGTTCAGTGAATAGGAACATTTGTTGTTCCTCTAGAAGACCTGGGTTTAGCTCCCAGCATCCTCATGCAAGCCCACAACTGCCCATTAATGCCATTCTAGCAGTCCACAACCTCTTGAGGTCTCATCAGGCATTGTATACATGTGACACACATATATACATATGGGGAAAATACATTTAAAATAAAAATGAAGAGAAATTGTTTTCCAAAGTGGCTGTACCATTTTCCATTTCTGTCACGAATGCATCAAGATTTGTTTCTCCGTATTCTTGTCAACACTTGGCACTATCAGTCTGATTGTAACCATTCTAATCGGTGTATGCTGTGTATTATTTTAACCACCCTCACAATAGATCCCTCTGGTCTTCATTGTCCAGGAGAGAATGCCGAGTATGCAAGGATCGGGTATGGTCTTGACTTCTCTACTGGGATGACTGTGGGTGAGAAGCGCCCCAGGAGGCAGGAGGAAGGCTGGATGATCCTCTCACCATCTTTTCTCCTAATTTCAGGAAGAAAGAGAAAGGATGTGAACAGCAATAAACACACCATAGAAGAAATGGTGCACTGTCTTAAAAATCTGTAAAAGAATTCTTCATATGTAAATTCCCAGTCCAACTGATACCCCAGTAGCTAGACGAACACTGTTATCATGTCTGGGCCCCAGCTTTCTTTACAGAGACAGAACTTTAAATGCTATATTGAAGTCTCCTTCTAGCTCTGCCTAGAAAGTTCAAGAATATGTCTAATGCTGAGCTTGGGATGTAGCTAGGTTAGTAGACTACTCGTCTATATCACAAGTGTCTACTTCAATCCCCAGGACTCCGCAAACTGACCCTCTTTTGCTCAGGTTTTTAACCTCACACTCCTGGGGTAGGGGTTGAAGAAGAAATTCAAGGTCATCCAAGGTGTATAGTGAATTTGAGATCAGTCTGAGCTACATGAAGTCCTGTCATGCCTGATAGCTATAAGACCAGAGAGTTGTTAAAAATGAAAGTGGCTAGTTTTCATGTTCATCCTAGTGTTGTAGTGAGAAGCTGCAACTGATACTCTGGTAATGAGATTGAAAACAATTTACTTATGTGAATCTCCTAACTGCTAATATGTGGCAGCTAGTTGCTATCGTAAATTACACACAAACTCTGTTGCTGCAGTGTGCTGTGGAGATGGAGGCTTACTTTGAGCGTTTTCCTATGAGAAGAGGACAGACAGTGATATCCAAGTACATGCCTGAGTTTTCACAGCAGAAGAAGGACTAACATGCAATTGTCTTACATAGTTTGGCAACTTAATTGTTATAAATTGGACTGTGGAATCTTAAGTACTAATTGCAAAATAGTTACTTTTTTACTTAAAACTGATATTTATGTTGACTAAAATGTACTTGCTATTTTTATGTGTGTTTGTGTGTATAAGTGGGATGTGTCTGCACACATGTGTATGGGTGTTCATGCTGTTATGTGCCTTCACAGAGGAGACATGGTCTGCCCCAGCAGCCATTCTCTGCTGTATTCCTTTAAAACAAGATCTCCTGCTGAACCTGGACATGGGCTGGTGGCAGCAAGCTCAGCAGCACTCTTGGTGTAGTCCTTTTTCCAGAACACTTGTATGAAGTCACACAGTTTTCCCCATGCTATCCTCCTTCCTCTACAGCACTGGGGAACAAAAGTGTGAAATACACACAGTTTTTCCTGTGCTATCCTTCCTCTATATCACTGGGGGACAAAAGCGTGAAGTCACACACAATTTTTCCTGTGCATTCTGGAGATTTGAACTTGGTCCCTGTGCTTCTACATCAAGAACTTTAACACATGTGTATTCTCTCTTTTTAAAATTTTATTATTTTTAATTATGTGTATGTGAGTGTGTGGGGCAGGGGAGGTGTTCTTGAGTGCAAGTGGAGCCCACAAGTGTTAGATCCCCTGGAAATGGAGTTTCAGGCAGTTGTAAGCCACTAGATGTGGAATTTGGGAAAAAGAACTCTCCAAAAGCAGTGAGTGCTCTTAACCCCCAAGCCATCTCTTCAGACCCAGATTTAGTACTTTTAAAGAACGAACAAGTAGCTATTTTTAAAACATACTATGTTTTAATTTCTAGTGTAGGTAGCATGAATAGTTTTGACACACATAACCAAAATATTTGGGGTTCTCAATAATTTTTAGGGTGTAGAGGGCTCTAAAGACCTCATCCTTTTGATAGCACAGCTGCCTCCTATCTGAAGGTTGTGCTGTGATCACCTGCAGATTCCAGAGTCCTCCTTGCATTTACATTCCTTATCTTCCTAGGCTACCCTTAAGCCTCTGCCATTGTTGTCCACTCCTGTCCCTTTGATGTGATGACACCAGCCCTCTCCTCTCCCTATCTCTTCCTACTTTCATGTCTTTTCAACCCTCTGCTTACTCCTTGCCCTGACAAGGTTCCAACTTAGGTTTTCTTTTTTACCTTATGCATGTCCCCTGGGCCTTCAAATCTTTTGCTCCAGCTATGATCAATACTCAATGATTTCCAAGTTTGGCTTCCTACCATTGGCTGTGTGCCACCATTTCCCAGCGCAGACTGCCGCCCAACAAGCATCCCAAAGGGAAAGTGCCCAATTGAACACATGAACTTTCCCTTCCTAAACTCACTCTTTGACTTACACGCATGTTTTGGTCGGTGATATTGTTGTGAATTTATTTGGAAACTCAAGACAATAGCTCTTGAAAACAGGATTGTAAAGTTATCTTTGGTGCCTTCTTTTCCAGTGTCCCTCCCGCCAGTATACAGTGGAGCTCTGGAGCCAAGCACAGCTTCCAGACACCCCTGTGTTTGTTGCTGGCTTTTCCTTCTCTTATTTACGCTCACTTCATCCTTTTCCTGGACTGCTAATCAGCGCACCTCCAATTTTCCTCCTAATTGCCCACCGGAGTTTCCTCTCAACTCCACACAATTGTCACTGCACTTTGGGTATTTATAACTCTTCCAGTCCCCCTCCTGACCTGCAGGATAACGCCCACACTGCTAAACAGCTGGAGGCACTTGGGGTGCTCTCCTTTGCTGGACCTTCAAGCTGTGTCTCCTGCCACCCCTAATTACATTGTTTTCCCAGACCTGCCTTCACCAGGTGGTTTCTGAATGCCTGTTCCCACTGTCAGAGGATTCACCCCTTGTGTTCCAAATCTCTTGTTAAAGGTCAGCTCCTTTCTGAGGCCTCCGCCCTCCCAGCACAATGTGATTTGCTTGCCTTCCCAGCCCTCAAACTCGAGAATCAGCTCACATCAGCCCTTATCATATCTCACTGTACTGAGGGCGCTTGTTTGCCTGTCTAAGTCCCCTCTGGACTCTGAGCATTGGACTGTCTCCTTGATAACCACCTCAGGACACACCCTCTGATAGGCATGCAGCTTGATTAGTTGGGTATGTGTGTGTGGCGGGGGGCGGGGGTTCCTTCACTTTCTCTCTGAGTCAGCTATAGACAGTTATCTCTCCGCTATATTTCAGCCCCACTGCAGAGTACGAAGACTGTCAAATAACAACACTAGTGATGCAGGTGAAATGACGTTTCCCTCTCACAGACAGCAGGGAATTGTTGCTTACACTTCTGTCATTTGCTTTCTGTCATAGACTAGCAATGTGAACCAAGATTTAGAGGAGGGAAAAAAGAGATTCCAGGTGAGGAATTCATGGGGAAGAAAGGGAAAGTCATATGAGAGAACTGAAAAGAGAGCATTTAAGATGGGGGGACATGTGCAGAAATGGGACCAAGAGCCGCTTTGCTGCCAATTATGAGTTTTGAGGAAAAACAAGAACAGGAGAAGGAGGTAACCCCAAAGAATGCAGCTTCCAATTCTTTTCAGAATTCGAGCTCAGGCAGGCTCCCCAACATTACCTCCAAAGTGTGTGTGCCCAGTGCACCTGTCCATTTATGCCTTCCCTGGAAGGGGCTTGGATGACAAAAGGCCTGGGCCATTCATCAGAAGAGGAAGATGTCTTTCAGGGCATAGGCACTATCTTAGGGACATGTACAGCTCATAACCCAGTTGTGATGAAACCACTCTAATAATGACAGGTTTGGTTGAAAATATTGATGAGATGTCCGCAGACCTCAGTGTGACATTTGGCTTTCATCACCTGGATATTTATATGGATTTTAATAACTCAAAACTTCTAATTCTCATTCATGTCCAAGATCATAAACAACTCTTTCCCAAAGGAAACATGAAAGAGCAGTTCTTCTGGCAGCTGTGCTTGGGGCTTGCATACTGGGGAATGGGGGAGGATGATTGGGAGCTTGAGGCCAATGGGCTACATAGTGAGATCCTGTCTGGAAAGACAGAAACCAGATAAAGTCAGAGCTATGCATTCAATCAGGGCTTTTTAGCAGCAAAGGGCAGCGAGATGATTTGTCCAGTAAAGGCAGTTACTGCAAAGCTCTGAATGCTGACCCCAGAATGACATGGTGGGAGGAGCTGTCCTTTGACATCTATCCTCCACACCCAGGCACTCATGAGCGTGCCCATTCTCTCTCTCTCTCTGTCTCTCTCTGTCTCTCTGTCTCTCTCTCTCTCTCTCTCACACACACACACACACACACAGACACACACTGAAAGTGAAAAGAATTAAGTTTAAAGACTTGTAGCACGACATAACTTACAAACCCTTCATTTAAAACAAAAACAAAAATGTCAGGCAGTGGTGGCACATGCCATTAATCCAAGGCAGAGGCAGGTGGATCTCTGAGTTTCAGGATAGCCTGGCCTACAGAGAGTTCTAGGACAGCCAGAGCTACACAGAGAAACCCTGTCTCAAAAAAGCCAAAAACAATCAAGCAAACAAACAAAAACCCTTCATTTTTGTGATAGTTTTTTTCAGAACTATGTTTTATTTTTAATAAAATGAATTCAAAAATTAAAAACATTGTTATGTGATAACACTTAAAAGACATGCATTATTACTGTACCTCTCCCTACACTTTCCCACTGTTAGAAAATAATCCATATCTCATCCTTTTAACGTCAAAAGAATATAGAAAAGACATAAATTAATAATTAACATTCTCTTTAATCTGTTGTTTATGCTTGTAGGGAAGTCCTGTTCATCTAGGTATCATCAAGTCAGAACTGCTTCTTTCTCTCTTGCTTTCTAATTGTCCTTAAATATCAAACTATCGGCCGGGCATTGGTGGTGCACACCTTTAATCCCAGCACTCGGGAGATAGAGGCAGGTGGATCTTTGTGAGTCGAGGCCAGCCTGGTCTACAGAGTGAGTTCCAGGACAACCTCCAAAACAATACAGAGAAACCCTGTCTCGAAAAAAACCAAAAAAAATTATCAAACTATCCTTTGAGTGTAAAAGAAGTTTCTATTATCCAAATAAAAATTTTGCCAACTCCATGCAACTCTTCTTCAGCAGAGTGATGGATTTGTCAGTAGAAAATCAAGGTAAAGACATTTCTATAAAATGCAGTGCTTGGTTTAGCATTCTTCCCTGGCCCCTCTTGTCTTTAACATTCTCTGTCCAAAT